GGGGGGGGGGGACCAACAACATCAACATGCATATACGGCAGGAGATATGCATGCAAAAAGGGGTTGAGGGGGGGGAGGGAGAAAGGGGGGAAGGGGGAGGGGGAAGGACATTCTCCCCGGAGACAGAGGGAATATCGCTTTCTTCTTTGGAATATGGCCTCTGGGTCGGGAATTCCCCAGGGGCGATTTCAGAGCGCCGATTCCGGCTCGGTTCAGCCCGGAATCCAAGGGAATCGGGGACTAGAACGGAATCGGGGACCAGATCGGAATCGGGATCAAATTGCTGTCGGTGAGCGAAACCATTCATTCGCTGCCAGCGAAATTAGGCCGTTTTGTGCTGAAGTTTGGAACTCTTTGTCAAGTTGTGGACTTTAATTTGACTCTACTCTCCTAAAAAAGCAAAATGATCTTCTCTCTTTCGTCTGGGGTCTTTTAGCGGGGGTGGCGTGGGAAGTTCGCGTGCCCCGCGATCGGCATCGATGGAGATCTGCTCCCCTCCCCCTCGCTATCTGAGGCCGTCTGACTCCTCCTCTATTTCGTGCGGCTGTTTTTCCCGAGCCCGAAAACCCGGACGAGCCGGAAGGAACTGGAAGGAGCCGGACATCGACGACTCCTCGGCGGGAAGACCGTGACAAACGAGAAAAAAAAAAACCTGGCCGGCACACGGCCTTTGTTCCAGGGCATGACGAGATCGCTTAAATCACCGAGCATGACTCCAGATTCCATCCTCACGGACCCGATATTACACGAGATATATAGCGTTCCTCACATGACCGTGGAGCCCTATCATCGGAGAGCGATTCCTCATCGGCCGGGGACGTCTTATGGGGGAATTATTCATCCACTCTCCCCCTCTGCATGATCGATCCCGGCCCCCCCTCCCCCCTCCCCCCCTTTCTCTCTTTTTGTCTTCTCGTCCTCTTTTTCGCACTCGGATGACTTTCACGAACTCCGCTTTCTTCGGCCCCTGCTTCCTAAATGATTGGATTGCTTCGGGGTTCCATCGCTTCGGAACACCACCTCGGAATTTATCGGCTTTTCGGCAAATGACGGGGAATCCAGAACGAACAGTGCCGCTGGGATTCATAACGGTTCGGATGTAAGCATCGCCCTCGGATGTAAGCATCGCTCGCGATGGATCACGCATGCTGTGTAATTACGCGCTCGAGAAGAACTTGCAGTTGAAACTTGGAGTGGGACGTGACAAAGGCCGTAGAGATGAGAAAAGTTGTGGGACAAACATGGAAGTCACCCTCGGATATTTCTGGCCCGGTCGAGGGCAACCCACCAGACGGGCGAGGGCAATCGACCGGACGGGCGAGGGCAACCCACCGGTCGAGAGATGGCATCCGGGCGAGCGGCCACTCACCGCGCGGAGGGTGTCGTGTAACGCGATGGGTCATGAGTAATGCATCATCTTCTATCATGAGTCATGCATTAGGTTCTCCGTTATCTCCAGAGAGCGTCTCTAGCGTCTCTGATCTCTCGACCTTTCCCTTTCGCATCCGGGAACGCTTCCGTCAGATGGAACTCGATGGAACCGAGAAGTCGGACCGGCTCGCAGGCGATTTTGCGTAACGAGGCGAGTCGCTCTTTATCGTTTGGGGAAGTTCTCCGTCGACCGATCGCGGCTCGACGGGAGAATCGCATGTTCTCTCTCGGAGAGAAACGCTTAGAGAGAGAGAGAGAGAGAGAAAGAGAGAGAGGGAGAGAGAGAATACGGGAGGCGGAGAGAATGTGTGCCTTACGTGCGAGGATGGGAATGCCATTAGTGAAAGGAGAAGGTGGGGCAGGGGCGGGGGGATCGCTCGGCCCGCTACCTGGAGCTGGTGGAGGCGGTGGAGCCGCGTGGCCGTTCGTCGCCGCTGCTGCCGCTGCTGCTGCCGCCGCCGCTGATCCCGCCATACCGAACCCTGTTCCCGAACCCAGGCCGCCCAGGCTCCCGTTCATCCCCGTCGGCGTCCCGCTCCCTGCATCATCATTCATGCATGTCACTTCACTCCGACCGGCGAAACGCGCCATCGATCGAAACGCCGTCAGGGCGATCGACCGGACTCGGGTCGTCCGTGACGTCGCTTCGAGCCGACCGCTTCGAGGTGGAAACGGAAGCACGCTCCAAAACGAAGGCGTTCCAAGAGTCTATACGTTGCAATTATCGATAAGCAAGAGTCACCGCGTCATCTGCGAAACACGCCAATTCTCATACATAACACAAAAACTGCATAATTTATGCCCCGATTCTCGGAGACACGTGCAGAGGCAGAAACGAGACAGACTTCATTCAACTCTCGGGGAAGAAAACTCGGGAATGGAACCGACTACGTGACGCATCTGCACGACACGGGCAGGGTCTTCTCACGATCTCATAAATTTCCCACCGCCGCAAGATAACGTTCTCCTCCCAGGAATCGATCGAGGCCTCGGCGGAAACTCCGAGTTTCCCCTCGAAAATTCCCAAAACTTCGGAGGAATTTCTTAAAACATCTGCCAGGGAAAGCGTCGCGGGCGATATCCATCACTTCCAACGTTCTAATCCATTAGCTTCGGCTCTGGAGAGCCTCATTTCGAGGCCATGTGGAACTCATCGAGGGAAGAAAATTGTGAAACCGGAATGAGGTTCAAAGGAAGGGATTCGATGGGATGGATGGAAGTATGATTGGATGGATGAAAGATCCCGTGGATGAGAGATCCCGTGGATGGGACAGGGACGAGGGGGAGAGAGAGGTGGACATGCAATTTCCAATCTTGCACAGACTTCCCTGGCAGATGGAGAGGGAAGCCCTTCAAGGGAAAATGAACCCCTCTTGCTTTGAGGGCTTCCTTCATTCAACTCTGGAAATATCAATTAATCCGAGTCTCTCCTCGGTTCTTTTCTTCCCTTGCGTTCCCTTTCTTCCCTTCGTCGGATTTCCAACTCACCAGAGGTGGGGGGGAGGACGGGGCTGGTGATGCCGTTCGCCAGGGTGGCGTGGGACACCTGGGTGGCCAGGGCCGCCATGGGGTTCATGTAGCTGCCGTGGGTCGCCGCTGCCGCTGCCATCAACGCTGCTTGCTGCTGCATGAACTGCAAAGACGCCGTAACCGTCGGGATGAGGGGCTGGGAAGATATATTATTTAAGACGGCTGGAACGTGCAGGAGAGCAAACAGACGGATGTCTCTCCTGCATGTTCCTTGCATGAAAGAACGAATTCCATCACGAATGCAACTAGTTCTTCCCCCCCCGGGTCTCTTCTTCCCTTAAATTTTGTATGCGCAATCAGATACTACAGAAGTTGCAGAGGTGGTCCCAGAGAGCATGAAACGAAAAGTTTTCCTCCCTCCGTCTCCCGTGAAATCGATCACACAACGCTGGCATTACACGCTGCCTTGGGCAGAACCGGATCGATGCATCGGGTCTCCCGGTTCACTCGGGATGGGCTACGTTAAAACCGAGTTAACGTAGTCCATCCTTAACTTGGGTTAACGCAGTCCATCCTTAACCTGGGTTAACGTAGTCCTTGACGCACGGAAAGATGAATATTTTTTCACCCAGCAAATCTACAGAATCTGCAGAAGTTAAAAAATGGCTTTCGATTGTGACATGCATTTGCTCCCAATATTCCAGAGTTCATTCAAACTAATGATCGCATATCATTTGCCGATAATAAAAAAATATTTCCCCTCGAGAAAATCTTGTAGTTGAAGAAGGAAGCGGCCGTTCTTCATCGTTAGCAACGGACCGGGCTGCAATTAATCACGGCACGTTACTGCCCGTTCCGTTTCATCAATTGCATTTTGCGATGAAATCGAGATTTCCAATTACGCGGAGAATCAGTTCGAGATGATCGGAAGGCAAGAAATTCAGCTGCCATGAGCATGCACAAATCACTCACTTCAGATCACTCAGAGGTACGAAAACCACTAGAAGACACGCCTCACCCAATCAATGAAATCGCATTAATATCCTATTAACAATCTGCCGAAGCTTACCTCGGCGGCCGTGAATGCTTTTAATATGTAAGCTGCTCATCGGGTTCTTTTCAAAATTTAATGGAATATATCACGGAGAGAAAGATGACACTCCGAGGAGCTTAGCGAAAAACCCTTCGCTCCATCGCGAAGGGAGGGTTCCGTGAAGGAAAACCCTCCAAGTGAGGATTCCCTCGTTCTCGGCCTTCTCGAGACGAGGAAATTCGTCCTCGCACGACTGCCTTCAGCCTAACCTTCCCGAACCAAACGAGGATGGGATCCATGGGGGGTGGGGGGGGGTAGGGGGGGGGTCATAAACAGCATCTGCAGGTCTTTCTGGGAAGGAGTTGGTATGGTGCCCAACGCTTCGCTACTGGAGTAGGCGAATCTAAGGAATTTAACATCGTCTTGCAGATAACTGCGAAGCCCACAAGAGTTCACCCTGGCATCGGATCCACACGCATGGACAGCGGTTCGACTGCGTGCTTAGGCTTTAGGTCGATGGATAAGGCGGTGACGGCCTTCTTTTAGTAATGTAGATTGATAGTAGACATCGGTTCGCGCAATGGGTAATAGGAAATGTAAAGAAGGGAAATAAATGTTTTTTGCAGTTGCGATGCCGACAGGGCGCCGATTCCTCTGCCTTTCTCTCACTTCGAGGGAATTCCCTCACCGATGAAAGATATTGCACCGCGTCTTCCAGGTCGTCCAATGAGACGCGAGTCGCGACGACAAGGAGACTCCACTGGGCCTCTGAGTCGCGTTTGCTTCACTGAAATGATACTTCCGTCCTTCCTCGTGCGCATTGTCTCTCGTGTAATGGGATAGGGGAAATGGAATACTATACTGTAATGCCCGCCGCAAATTGCTCCACGTGCAAAGCCTCCCACGTAATGGCAGGACCAACACGTCACATCCAGCCATCTAGCCATCCTAGCTAATCCTGACCTTTTTCCATTAGCGTGACGGCAATGGCCGTATGACCCGCCGCCATTCCACCCCCCTCGACCACATCAACGAAGAAAAAAAAAAAAAACGGACGCCCCTCGCTTCCCAATCCGACCAGAAAGCGCAAAGACGCTCCACAGCGACCGAGCCTCAGGACCGAAGAGCCTCACGTCCCTTCCAACCGACACCGGCAAACGAGAGCGGACTGATGCAGTTGAAGCCTCAAGGATCCTTCCCTCCTTCCCTTCCTTCCCTTCCTTCCCTTCCTTCCCTCTCTCCCTTGATCCTTGAGCAGGCCCTATATCAGATCACTATTACTTCCGCACGAAAGTGGACCAGTCACGCTAATCACATTTTCTCTCCTCTTCCACCCCCCCCCCCCTCCTCCCCTCACCCTCTTTCCTCCGCTCTTTCTTCGGAAAAAATGACACCGTCCCTTGGCAAAGACATTATACATTCCACCACTTTTATTACATTACAATTCATTACATCGCATCGCATGCATGAAGCGTGGCCCCAAGCAGCTTAGGCGTAACAGTATCATTCCAGCGAGCCGTAATGGAATTATTCACCCCCCCTCTCGTCCTTTACCGTGCGGACAAAGCCTCTTGTCCTTTACATCGTGTCGGTAAGGGACCGAAGAGAGACAAACCGGTTTTTTTTTTGCAAATCGAGTCGAACAATGAGTCGATATGACGCCGGCCTTGTATTCGAGTCTAATCCAAAAGGACTAGGCCTTGGCAAGCCTTGACTTCGTTTCGGCTGGGATTATTTTCCGACGGAGAACTCATGGCCGAAAATGGCGTCAAGTTTGAACGAGGCAGGTCAGGTTTGCAAATTAATTGCGTTTCGGTTACACCTTTCTCCTCGGAAGTCAGGAATTGTAATTGAAAAAAAGGGGGGGGGGGAAATACTCATTGACTTTTTTTTTGACGCTTTGAAATTCGATTTGCAAAAATATATACATTTTTTCACATCAATTTGAAAGTAAATACTGCTTGAGCCGAGCTCGACATTTTTTTAAATGGCAAATAGTCGATTAAAAAGAAGTCAGGATCCTCGCTTCTCTCGCTTCGATGGCTTCGTCTTGCTCGGCAAAGCGAATTCGACATCAGATTTGATTGATTTGTCGAATCCGCCAGACATTAAAAGTAAGCCTTTACTATAGGGCTCAGGGAACAGGAAATGAGACAATTGCAATATCGAAGACGGCAAACGATCGTCTTTGGGGCGGAAATGCTACCTAATGGCGAAATTCAAGTCGTTCCGTCCTGCGTCATCTGAAGCCAAATTTACTTCCCCGCTAAAACCCTCCGAGGCTGCATCGACTGACAACTTGGTCCCACGTGGTGCTCGAATCCAACTTTTTACTTTGCCCCTAGGCTTTTTTTTTGTCCAACGAATCCCTGGGTTGCAATGGGTAGGAGGGGTAACGGGGATGGGCAGAACCTGGTAGAGTTACGCTTGTTCGGATGGAGTTTGAAATTTTCCCATTTGGTTACATGTTCTTAATTGGTATAATTAAGAAATACCTCTCAGAAAAATTACATACAGAAACTACGCTTCCTCAAAAATACAAATTTACAATTACATTTTAATGACTATTTCTCCTCGAGATAATAAAAAAAACATGGCAGGCATAAAACTATTTCACAGGAAACGTTTCGCTTCCTGCGAAAAAACGCGCCTTCGCATCTGGCGATGTGGAAATGCGCAATTTCTCATTAAGTCAATTCTCATTTTTGTGTTTCTGAGAAAGCAAACTTTGGAGCTTTAATTTCTTCGTAATTTATTTCCTGGAAATAAAAACTTCACCCATTAATAATATGAATGATTGACCACAAATGGCTTCATTAGGTTAATTAATTATGCCGCTATATGGCTCTCACTCGTGGTTTTCTTTTGTTGGAATCCACGAATCGTTTCATCTTAAAACGTACCATCGAACAGCGGTATAGTAACATATAACGGTATGGTAACAACTTTGGAAAGTGTGGTTGCTGTGCGGTAATGACACGATTTGGATGAATTCATCCATCAATTCAAGAAATACTTTTTTTGTTACATTACAGCTGCGTTTCGCTGTAGAGTGATGCATCTTGAAGCACCCTCTTCGCCGTATTTTTTTTTTGCAAAACTGACTTAGCAGTTTCTTAGTTCTTGCTTCGCAGTAGTTGTGCAGATATATTCCCCAAAATGGGAAATTTGAAAAGACTCCTTACAGGCCATCTGGGGCCTATTCCACAGAAGATTTACAAGTTACAAGTTACAAGTTGTGTGGCTGTATTTACAAGTATTTGTATTTTCTGTTCCACAGAGTTTGCGCTAGTACTTGTTAATTGTAAAGTACAAGGCATTGAAGCCAGCTCATATTACAAGTTCAAAGTGCATTCCAGAGTTCTCTATCGAGTAGCACTCGTGGAAAGACACCAGAAGAGGTTTCATCAATGAAAGCGTATGGATATCTTATATAACGAGGAGCTGGATATGCAGAATCGAATGTCATCCTTAAGGTCACCTCTTGGCCTTAAGGTCAGAGTCCACACTTACATTCAAATTTGAGGGGGGGAAAGGGCCGGTGGAAAAATCTGCAGGTTAAAAGAGAACGAAAAAGAAACAACTGAAATAGGCTTGTATAATAATAATAAAAATTAAAAATTGAAAAAATGAAGTTGACATGCAGTTTGGGGATTTGATTTTCTTCCTTCATGGGAGAAACAAAATAGGGTCATCATCTAGAATTGAGAAAAAGTCAACGAAGGGAAAATAAAAGAAAAAAGAAATAATTTCCCGAAGTCACCTCGATGCCTTGTCGGGTAAAACGCAATTACGACTCTCGACGGCGACAACAACAACCACGCGAGTCGGCGGGATCTGGGACCGGCGACCCCAACGACTGCGCCGCCGCACTCCTCACGAAACGCGACGAAACGCGACGAAAATGCGAATGCGAATGAAGTAGCAATAAATCCATCAAGAAAGATCCAACCGGAAGCGCTCGGTCGACCTCACCCTCGCGTAATGAGAAACGAATGAGAAGTTTATCTCAGGTGCGAGACCGATTCCAAAAGGAAAAGTTTGTCTCATCAGGTATGCATGGCACCGTACTTCGTATAAGTGGGACGAGATATTTCTCCTGAAGGGCTTTTAGGTTCATTTTCCCCATC